TTAAAAGCCCTTTGCCTTTATATGAAGTGTTTTGAATTTTCTGCCAGCCACAGGACTCCTCCAGCACTTCTTTTCCACAACAGACTGCACTAGCTCCTACTCAATGTTCTTAACAATCGCATGCCAATAATTCAACCTTGTTTGGCCTTTCTGCACATTATCCATCTTGCTGAAGAAAGAAAAACTCAATACAGAACCATTTGGAAAATAAAATTACCAAAACAGAATCGTCAGCATTCCCACATCTCTACAAGATGCCTCTCCACTTTCACACCATGTCAAATTATTATAAAAAAAGTCCCCCTTTCACATCAGTCTCTCTTTCACTGACTTGAAGACTAAAGATATCTAACTTCAGGTATTTAACTTCAAAACAGACCCCAAAATAAATTTCTTCAAATTAAGCATACAGCTATCTGATTTAAGTAATTTATTTTAGAAGGTCTGTTTTAAAATATATTTTTAATTTTATCCATTTGTATTTCAAAAACAGCAAAATTTTTAAAGCTTTATTATTTCATTTTTTTCAATTGATCTAGAAGCTAAGTTATCATTGTAAATAAAGCAAATAAATTCTAACTGGCATCTCCAGCTTTATTAAAACTTTTCAACATTAAGAAACAAGCATGAAGACCTTAGCTACAGTGACTAAATTCTTCTGATTCTCTATGCAACGGAGTTAAAGATGCCTAGAAATCAAACCCAAACAATTAGAAAAGCTGCATAGGAAGAGGATAAAACAGGTCAGAACTTGTCTTCATGCTGCAATTACTCAGTGAAGGATCCCATTATTGTCTAAATTCTTCTAGATTTGTTTTCGCACATGGAACGTCTTCCTCACCAGCAAGAAATGTGTAAAGTCATCTACGAATGCAGCAGCCAGATATTAGCCTGGGGAGAAATGGTTTAATTACACAAGCCGAATTTAAAAAAAAAAAAAAAAAAAAAAAAAAAAGGGGATGTAAAAAAGTAACCTGGGTGGTTTTTGAGTAGTTTCAAAATGTGTGGGTTTTGACTGAGTACACGGTTTGAAGAAATTAAAATTAATTTTATTATCACAGTAGTGAGCTGACACGAAGAGTCGGCTCCCATCTACACCATTACTATGCCGTAACTTACTATCCAGGCATGAGAAATAACCCTCCCCGCCGCCCGTGCTGACAGCGGTCAGACACCCAGGCGAGGTTTGTGTCCCAGGAGAAGCAGAGGCGCGGGGACAAGCGGGCGGCCCTCGGGGACAAGCGGGCGGCCCTCGGGGACGCGGCGCCGCCCGCCCCACAGCCCCGCGGCCCGCGCGCCCCCTGCCGGCCCGCGGCCGCCATCCCGCGCTTTGCCGGGCACAACGGGGAAATCGCTCCCCGCACCAAAATCCGCCCCCGCGCATCTCACACTGTGGTGCTGGTCTGCACCACCAGCCACTCACGCCCTGGCGCTACGCCACAAGACGGAAAACTGCCGCCTTTCACCACGTGCCCCCAGTACTGCAGGCAGAAGCCACTTGCTTATGCGTACATGCTAACTTGGTCCATATGGTTTTGCTTCCTCCTCTGTCCTTCACAACAGAAAAAACATTTCATTCTATAGCGAAAATGTAAATCTTCCCAAATGAAAAGGCGAGCCAAAGGAAATCTGACTGGGGAGCTTGCCTCACAGTGACAGCACAAGCATGAAGCCTCCCAACTGGATTTGTGCCATCCTTAGTCATGCACAGCTGGTGTTTGCTCACTAAAATACTCTGTTCATAAACAAGCAATCCCTACCCTATTATTGCTGCCATCTATTAATTCAACTTGTTTCTACTACAATAAATTGTCTCTGGACAGGCAGCTTTCATAAATAGTCATTCTAGTCTGAATATGAATTGTCCTGGCACAAAACCCAAAAATTCTTCCCAAGTGCTCCTAGGGGAGCACAACTGACTGCTAGTACATCAAAAGAATGAAAAGAATCAGCTGTCAAACTAAGCAAGCAATTAACAATGAACACAAGGGTAAAACTTTATGTTATTTCTTAACACAAAAAATAACACTGTATAGATTTATAAGCCTTGCTACAGGCCCAAGAGCTTATATATTTCTTAACTAATCCATCTATAACAGGTAACCCAGGGTACCAAAAAAACTAATATTTCCAGGTACGCATAACCGGCTGCCCTGCTTGTCTTCCCTGGCTCAGAATCGTAAAACAAAACCAACCAACAAAAAACCAAAACAAAACAACAACAAAAAAAACACATCAAACAACTCTGTCTTGCACATGGTATCTAGGCATCTAAATGAACTTCTGTCTTCAATTATTTACTCTGTAACCATGAGGTAAAAATATGCAAAGCAGACTGAGCACCAGCATGCAAGACTTCGAACTCTCAAATTCTAATCCCAGCTCTGCCAACAACCCTGTGAGACCATGACAATGTCCAAGGCTCTGCTGATTCCTTAGTATTTCAGGCCATCACTAAAATAACTGAAAAAGCTTCCATGTTAAAAAAAAATTTGAAATACATGTATCAGTAGAAATAGTGGGAGTTTCGTTTAGTTTTTTAACTACAGAAAGTAATTTTTAAAAGATGGAAGGATGTTTTCTTTTATGAAGAGGACAAAAAATTCTTTATGCTATGATAACACCAAACAACAAGATGGCACAGAAGCTGCTCCTGAAAGCAGCAAGAATCTACTCTAATCCGATCTCCTCTTAGAGGAGAGCATCTTTCACAGATCTCACTCACCAGAAAACAGTTTTCAATAGTCTGTAACCTGTTTTAGAAAAAGAACACAAGTTACAAGCATAGAACTTGTAACACAGACTAATGAAGGAAGCACAGACCTTTACAGTCATGATGACCTGTTTTCCTCTACAAGTCCTTTCTTTCCTCCTTTAAGCAGTACATCAAGTTCAAGATCAGTTTCTATCAATTTGTGTTTTGTTTATAAGAGACATAAGGACAGATAATGAAGCTGCAGGGGCCCCCTGAAGCTCTGATCTACTAAGAACCATTACTGCTTCTTCTGAAAGAGATGAGCTTACAATAGCAACAAAGAAACAAAACCATGGTAAAGTGAGGCACAATCCATAGTCAACAGATGTAAAATAAAGGCACCCATTGCTGCACACCTGAGAATAAAGAAATTCACTATAAAAAAAAGCAGGAGGCGCCAATGGACTCTGAAAAACAACCTCCTTATTTACTTCATTCACCATTACAAAACTGAAAATTGCAATGATTTCTAGAATTCAGAGCACTGGACAGTTCCAGACTGCAACAAGGTCACAGAGATGTTAATTTTAAAACCTTATTTCACAAAATTAATGAACTGAAATCAATATGAGTACACAAATGAACTAACCAGCAACTTCAAGCCCAAAGGTTAAACATAAACATGATGCATGCCATAATTAACTTAAGGAAAGTAAACCACAGAAGAAAAAACATATTAATGCATGAACAAACAGTTGTTTATTTAATCCACCTTATTTCATACTTTCTAACTTGCAACTACATCAATGCACCATTTCACCACAGTAAAAGCTTGCTAACCTGTGACCACCAGTTCACACAATTCACAGCTATTTCATCAATTTCAGCTGCTCTTCATTGATTAACACCCACCAGATGCTGGCCTCCAACTTCACACACCACCACATAATTGTAACATAAAAACTCCTAATAAAGGGCATAATCTCAAAACTTGTGTATGTCAGAATTACTAAGAGATACTTGAAATATATTTTTAAAATGCATAAAACCGCATGTTTGAGAAGTATCAGACCCCATCTTAAAAACTCATAAGCTGGCACAGAAAGTTATGTGCAATTGGTTGACAGGGTTTCCATGGAGTTACTCAACTACCATTCCACAACACAGATCACACTGCAGACTGCTTTTTTTTGCAAAAGTATTAGAGCAAATGCCATGTTTTAAAGTTGATTAGAAGGAACCATTTAAGCAGTTTTGCTTTTCAAGATGACAGATTTTTCTCTGAGATCCAATTATTCCAACAGCCTATTTAAAAGACAGAATTAAAGACTGTGAAATAACAAGATCAGATGCCATCACAAAAAGTACATATTTCATGCAACAGCTTAAAACACTCTTATTAAATGTGACTGATTTTATGGAAATATTTTTAAATCTTTTACAAAATTCCTCCAGGAAGCTTGCAGATTGCATGTAGCCCTCACTCCTACCCATTGTTTTTTGGTTTACTTGTCCTTTACAAGAAGAAGATGCTGCATCTGCCTCAAAGTACTTGAGTATACTTTGTATTTAATGTTTTATGAGTACAAGCCTGCATTATACACCCTCCCACTGCAAAGGAGGCTTGCTTCTGAGTTTGTCTGTGTGCAGTAATGTGCACAGTGGAACTACTCCCAGTCTACAGCAGCAGGTGGACATAAGGAACACCCGCGGCTTTTACTCTTGAATGGTTTCTACCATCTATTTATAGTCCAGGCAACGGGTTTAGAAATACTGAGCTGGGAAATCACTCAAAAATTGTATTTCTAAGCTTTATGGAAGATACATAGTTTTGGGGGTCTTTTGCCTTAGCTGTTTATGAAGTATTTTTATACATAATTTCTCCAGAAACAGTAAATCTGTGGAGCTATAAAAGAAAAAAAAAAGGTTTTGGACACCATTCAGCACAAACTCCTTTTTTTTTGAAGTCAGTGTTCTGAAGTGATAGAATTATTTATTGTCTCCAACCTGCAGATGCATTCTCTACAACATCTACACAGCCTTCTAGAATTGCAGTTCAAGCCTGCAATACACCAGGAAAAGGACAAAGCCAAACCCAGAAGCAGGATGAGATCTACTAAGTTATTCATGGTACTGATAAAATATAAACAAACTGACATAAACTCAAAAGCCCACCAAAAACAAATAAGAAATTAACTAAATAAAAGCATTAATGACACCTAATGTATGTGACTGCCCTCAGCAGTAACCATTTTATTTTTGACACACATTTCACATTAAGGCTGATAATTAAACATTTACCTACCGAATCATTTGCTGCTAGGGCGAGGGCTATATTTACTGCAGGAAAGAAGAGGAGGAAAAAGAAAAAGATTAAGTGCTAAATATTGAGAATGTTATCACTGCTAACAAGAGAAAATATAAATACAACACATTTAATAATGACATCATCTCTTGGTTCTAAGCTTCTTGCATCTCTACAACATGAGCAGTTTAAATGACAGCAGTACCTACATTTCAGTCCATGTTTGTTAACCAGCCAACAAACTCAAGCTAATCTGCAAAAACTTGGAGATTTGCAGTTTCTAGAGGACACTGCAATATAATAAGATATCCGCGCTATGATGCCCAATGGGCAGGAAGAATAATGCACAGAACTCTATGATATCAGAAGGCTAATTAATTACTTTATTATCCTATATTATACTATAACAAACTTACTTCTAACGACTGAAAAATACTAAAGAAAAAATCGTGACTGTCTCCCAACAGCTTTGCGTGACTGGCCAAGGAAACAAAATAGTCCTCAGGAGAATCCAATTACCAAATTCCTTCAGGTACATAATCTTCCAACACATTCCACATGTTCACAAATACAGGAGCACCAAATGAGATAAGAATTGTTTTGATCATTCTTTTCTCCCCTTCTCTCACAGCTTCTGTCTGTTCAGAGGGCATGTGAATAGCACAATAATACAGTCTCAGTATTTTGCCAAATAATAACATTACAAAATACTTTTCAAAGTAGCCACTTTTGAAAGGGGACACCATACTATAAAATGAAATTACTAGCATCAGTAACCTTCAACACATTCTCTAGTGAACTTTCATAACACTAGAAATTAGGTAAGCATTGACACAAACTATTAAAACAAGTGACCAAAAAGATGATCATATCCCTTTTTTTGATTTCTTGTCATATATTGAATAGAAATGTTTTCTGGAAGAAGGGGAGATGCATGCTTTTCACTTGATTTTTATGTCAGAAAACAAAGTCACATCAACCTGAAAGCGTCCGTAACTAAAAAAAAAAAAAAAAAAAACCAAAAAAAAAAAAAAAAAAAAAAACCCAAAGAGAGATGAAGCAACTAATCAACCTGAAAGCGTCCGTAACTAAAAAAAAAAACAAAAAAAAAACACCAAAGAGAGATGAAGCAACTAAAAAGACCATTTGTTTAAAGCTTTTACATTTCCATCAGTACTTAACTCTCATAACTAAATAGCAGGTGCAAATGGTATCTTTAATAGCACACCAGCGTCAGTTATTTGGGAGACCTCCTAGAAGTTTTGGTATAGAAAATGGAAACAACAAAAAACAATCACAGTATTTAAATACGCATTGACAAATACTGTTCCAGTAATATAATATTTTCTAATCATTCTAATTATTCCACAAGACAAAAATGCACTGGAAGCAACAGAGACTACAACATGAAAGCCATATGCAACAAACAGAATGAGTTACGCAACAGGTTAGGGAATGACCATGACAAACTTGACCAGAATGCAGACACTCTCTTCCTGAAATGGAGATCCAGAGCAACTGAAACACAACTATACTGGAGAAAACAAACAAAAAAAAGCCCTGACAGGCCTGACATACACACAAGACTGATGATATTTCCTGTGGTGCTTTAGGAATTAGAGGTGCTTACTAGCCTCCCTTTTCAATTCCTGCTCTCAAAATGCGTCACCAAACATGTCCCCCATAAACCTCAAGTAAGAATGTAACTTTAAGTACATAATTCAGTAATGATGCCATGCAATCCTTTTGTTTATACAACTTATCTGACATTCAATGCCATGTTCATTTGAATGACAAAATTTATCATCATTGTAGTCAACAAGAATATATATTTCCTTCTCAATATTACGTATTAAAACATTCATTCAAAAAGGCTGTCCATTAGAGTTACATGTAAATGCTTCATTTACATTTCTACTATCTTACTTAATGCCTGATTATTTTTATTTTTAAATGCACAGGAATGAACTCACAGCTCTAAGTATTATTTATACATGTGTTAAATTTTATGTAGAAATTGCACACAGATACCAGTCACAAGAACTTAAATTCAGGTATTTGTTTGCAGACATGAGGACAATAATCTGAATTTGCTTTTCAAATTATGTTCATTTTGTAAACTGCCAATTGATAAACAGGTATTTGGTATTTTTAGTAACCTGCAACAACCAGTCTATGTGTTATAATGATATTACCTTTTGATGGTTAAGAAACACCAGTTTTAACTGTTTTAACTTTGTCTTTGTACAGGTAGGTGTATCCTATGTATAGGATAGACAATAGCTAAATAGAAAAAACCCCTTTTTTTTAAGAACAGTTACTTTTAGTACAGATATCATATTAGTCTGTTCTTGAAATAATTAGACAATTAGTCTGTTTCAAGCATGGGTGAAATACAAACACCAAAACTATACATTAAGAGCTACATCCATGTGTTATTCACAACACATGGAGACGAACAGCAGACATCCTTCAACTAAAGGATGACTCTTCTCCAGTCTAGACGCTAAGAAAGAGATCTTTAAACACATTTTTAAATGTGTTTAAAGTGTAATGTGTTTAAATGTGTAAAATGTTTAAATGTGTTTAAATGTGTAAAAAACACAGACATCTTTTCCAAGAAGCTTACTTTCAGTGTCATAGCATCATAGGATGGCTTGGGATGGAAGCGACCCTAAGGATGACCCAGCTCCAAAGCCTGCTATGGACAGGGACATCTTCCCCTAGACAAGGTTGTCTGACATCCCATCTAACCTGGCCTTGAATACTTCCAGGCATGGGACAACCACTCCCTGTCTGGGCAATCTGTTCCAGTGCTTCACCACCACCACGGTACAGAATTTCATCCTAGCAGCTAATCTACATCTCTCCACTTCTGGTTTAGAACTACTCACCCTTGTCCTTTCTGCACACATAAAAAAGTCACACTTTTTCCCTTCTGTAAGCCCCCTTTAATTCCTAGAAGGCCAAGAGTCTCCCCAAAGCCTTCTCTTCTCCAGGCTAAACAATCCCAACTCTCTCAGCCTGTCTCCACAGCAGGTGCCCCAGCCCTCTGATCATCTTTGTGGTACTTGTAGGACACACGCTCACAGGTCCTCCTTATGCTGGAGGACCCAGACTGGGACACAGTGCAGCCATCCAGCCGATTCCTCATAACCAAGTGGTCCATCCATCAACTCCTGGTCTCTCCAGATCAGAGACAAGGGCATCATGCAGGACAGTGCCAAATGTTTTGCAGAAGTCCAACTCAATGATACCAGATATTCTTCCCTCAACCACTGTAAGAAGGCACAACAAATGTTTTTTTGCACGTTGGCACAACAAATATTTTTCTTTCATTCTGTCATCTGTTTAAGTTCAAGTCCATTTCTGCAGTACTACTAACCCATGTACTATCTCATTCTACCATCTAGGAACACGTGGTAGAGAAAAAATGAGCGAAAAATTAATTCAAAACCTAATGGTAGAGTTGAGAGAAGAGTTCAAGGTACTTCACAAAGCTCTGATCAATTTGTATGGTTTATAAGTACCGTTTCACTTTTTCTTTATAAAACACCCACATAAGTAGTTGAGAAAATTGAACAGAGTCCTGATCTGGAAACTTTCTAAATATCAGTATCCTCTACAAAGAAAGGCACTGTAAGCACATGTAAGCGTGAGAAGGAAGAACTGTGCACTAGCATGTGATCCCTTTCACCTCAGCCTACATCAGCTCTTAAGATGCCCCGATGTCTCAGGGCAGTGCTGCACTATTACAAAAATATGATTCAAAACTAAACTCACACCTAAGTTAAAGCCAAGATTTCTGTATCCAAGTAGATTCTCAATGGCTGCAACAGGACTTGTCATAGGTGAAGGGCAGTGTTATAGAACCCAATCACATGGTAATGACACAAGCACCTAAATATTCCCTGCAAAATACTAGAAAATGTGCAAAGGAAATTATTAAAAAAATAAAGAAATCTTACCTGCTGTTGTTGATTTTCCAACTCCCCCTTTTCCAGAAGCCACAACCACCACCTGCTTAACTCCTTCTATGGGCCTCTGCTTTGGCAGCCCTCGTGACAGGATCCGAGCACGTTTGTCCCTCAGAGCCTCATCCCCAGAGCTTGAGGACTACCAAAACCAAAAAGCAAGTGAATGCATGTGCACCAACCCGCAGTTCTCGCAGAGAAAGCTGACAGGAGGGGAACTACACGCACACTGAGAAATTTTCACCACTTGTTTAAAAACATTCTGCACATGGCTCTCCCAAAGGGAGGCTACTTCCCGCCCGCTGCGCGCCGGCGGGGTTGGCGCTGGCTGGGCCCGGCAGCCCCGGGGCAGCGCGCGGCTTGCGGCGCTGAGGGAAGCGATCGGCATGAAGCGATCCGCGTCCTCCCGCCCAGCGCGCCGGGCAGCAGCAGCCCGGAAAGCAGTTCCCTGGCGCTGTCTGTAAGGAAACCGATCCGCGTCCTCCCGCCCAGCGCGCCGGGCAGCGGCGCTGGGAAGCAGCAGCCCGGAAAGCAGATCCCTGCCGCTGTCTGTAAGGAAACTGGGGCCAAGCGATCAGCACCGAGTGACCGCACGCATTGCAAACTGCCTCGGGCTAATTCCTCATTATGCCGCAACTGTCCCCGCAGAGGCTCGTTCTGGCTCTCTCTGCTGTGCTCCATCGGCTTGTCGGTGCCTTCTGAATTCTCATCTCTGCTCGCAAAATGGTTGGGAAAGAGGTCGGTTCCGTCTTGGTTTGTGTCCTCTACAAATATAATAAATATATCCCATTTCCTCCTTTGCATCATTATGTAGAAGATCAGAGACCTGTAGCCGAGGCAGATGCCACCTGTTTGGTCGGTTTTTTGCTTATTTTGATTTGCTTTTTTTGGGGGGGGGGGGTTCGTTGGGTTTTTTTAGTAATACTAAAGCACAGAATCACAGAATTAGTCAAGTTGGATAGCCACCACCATGGATCATCTGGTCCAACCTCCTTGCCCAAACAGGGTCATTCTGAGCACATGGCACAAGATTGCATCCAGATGATTCTTAAATATTTCAGTGAGGGAGACTCCACAGCCTCTCTTAGCAATCTGTTACAGTACTAGGTCACCTGCACAATAAAGTTGTTCTTCCTCAAGTACAGGTGGAACTTCCTTTTCCATCAGTTTCTGCCCATTGCCTCTTGTCCTATTGTTTGGCACTGAACATTGTTCTGGTGCTAGTTTTGATCATCCAGTTTACCCTCACTCAGTAGAAGTTCATCAAAACCCATTTCTGTTCCTTATGTCATGTGAGGTTTGCTTAAAGCTTTAAGACACACATCATCTCTCGCTTCTCTCCCACCTACAAGCCTGGTAACTATCTTGTGGAAGGAAATTAGATTGGTTTGACATGATTTGCTCATAAAATTCCTTGAATAGTCCTTATTCAGCTAAGTGATATTATAGAAATAATTCAGATCTTAGCAATTTCAGGTCATTAGTTTGCAAATATAAAACACAGTGTAGACAGTCTTTTGTTGGTGTCTGTCATACTATGTAATGGATCAGAGGATTTTACATCAGTTTAAAGTGTTATTATAATAAACATTTCCTCTCACAGTGAGCAGAATTTTCACTATTTTAAATGTTTCATTTTAAATTATATTATTAAAAGTTCTAATCAAGCAAGCCAAAGGCATGTTCCAGTGCTCAGCTACAACACATAAATTACAATGTTGAAAATAATTTTTTTCCCTATTCTTGAAGTGATTCTCATTCAGCCTACATTTTTGATGTACACACGAGCAATTTTGCATCTCTACAGACAGCTGTATTTTGCATGTCCACAGACACCTGAAGAAGTCAAATCATTTCCCAATAATTTACCCTACTGTCAAACCAAACTGAAAAAGAATACTGAAAACTAACAAGCCACTGCATTTTGAACCTGTGATGTGGAGTCCAGGGCTTTTTTTCACTGCCTCTGGAAATCATGTTACCTTTGCATTGCAGGAAACTTGCATAATTGTTTTTCCTACCCGGAGCAGTTGGGGGCAGTGTTAAAGTGCAAGATACCGTGCACGTCACATCAATGGAGTCGGTACTGTGGGATCATGGCTAGGCACACACTAGAGATGTGGGTCACTTCAAAGCCTTTACAGGGAAAAGAACATGGTGAAAATGTACAATACACTTCATCTTGAGAATAGCTCCAACACCGACAACAATAATATGGAAATATTTTTGTGGGGTTTTGTAAAGCTGATCTAGCACAAACTAAAACTGAGCTAACAATCCACAATATTTTTAGTTTTAATAATTTATTCAAGCACTATTTTGTTAACTACCCTGTTAGCAGGGTAGCTAATATGGCAGTAGGTTGTATTGAATGTGAGTATGAATTGTTGTATTTGGCCATTAGAAAGGGAATCAGTTTGCTCAGCAATACAGCAGACATTTTCAAAATGCCTTGACTTCAGTGGAATACTCTGCAGTTTCACTGGGTAGTGTTTCTATCTCAACTAATTGTGAAGACAATTTTATGGATTGTACACTTCTCACAATTGCTCTTGGCTTCCCATTTACATTTTAGCATTTGAAAATATTGTTCTATGTTGTTTGACTGGTATATTATTGCACAACATGCAACACAACATACACTGATAAAATATGAGTCTAGGAAAATGCAACCAAAAATTAACAAAAATTTTACTGCCAGACATGAGTCTTGATGGAAACTACAGGTAATATCAGCATCTTTCAGAAAATTCCACTTCAGACTTCAAAAGTGTAACAAAATGAAAGATGCAATATTTAATTTTAATGCAAATTGATACTGTTTTCTCTAAGTAAATGTAGGAAAATGTTTTATAGACTCTAAATGCTATTCAACCTGAACAATAACATGATAAAAATAGAACTGATTTTTGTGTGAAATTAGGTTGTCTTGTGTTTAAATATATCCTTTCTCTACCCCAAATCAATTAAGGGTATGCAGGTATAGCTAGGAAAGATTTCTTGCCAAAACAACTCCAAAATTTAAAAACTAAATAACATTTGAAAAATGACTTGGTAGATAATTAGGTTGCTTTGTGTGCAGTAGGATGTAAGTGACTTTTAAAAAGTATCCATTCTCATTTCTGGGTGTCTGCATAGTACCACATTAATAATATAGCAACTGCAAACTCTTTCTCATATAAGCCATTTATTTCATACACAATTTGAACTAGAAAATATATTAAAGAATGGCAAGAGAAAGATTCTTCAAAACCAAGGGATCATTTTAACTTCATAATCAGGCCTGCAACCTTTGGCCATAGATGTACACCACTGCATACTAGGATGAGTGTGTGTGGCATGGGAGTCTCAGATTCTGGAGTTTTCCCCCCTGGCTGATACCTTTAAGATAAATAAGTTAAAAATTATGCTTTTTATCTTTTTTTTTTGTCACGTGGTGATAATTACTTAGTCCAGGGCTCTGCCCTGGCTAATGAGCCTTGAGCTCTTAGCATTTCCTCTTGGCTCAGCCAATATTGCCTCACTGTGTCTCAGGCTAGCTGCCACCTCCTCCCTTTGGCAGCTCTGAGACCATGCTAGAGCATGTTCTTGCCAAAACAGCATTCTCCTGTGGGGCTGACAAACTGTATCAGGCTGCAGAATAATCCAAGACAAAATGCCTACTGGTCTGAGCTCTTTGTTTTATCTTTGCTGTGTTCCTCAGGGAAGTTAAAGCAACTTCCACAATGCTTTACTTAATGCTGAAACACTGATCTGGTCTTACACAGACCAGCACCAGCTTGGCAGAGTTTGTGCACGGGGGCACAGTGGCATACCTGGAGGTAACAGGCTCCAGAGAGATCGGTGAGGCACATCTCAAAAATGTGTAAATAGGGAATTTCAGACGCTAGGGGAGAAAACAACTGCAGGCATAAATGAGGAAAGTCCTTCTGTCGTGGTATTACCCCTCTGTCATTCACTGGAATTTTTCTCCTAAAGTCTTTTTCCTGCTAGGCTCAGACCAAGGTCAACACCAATGACGTCACTGCACGGAGGCAGTTATGCCCACTTGTTGCAAAGTAAGTTTGGCTCAAGGGATTTTAACAGATTCTGATTTCAAAATTCTATTCAAAACAAGGCAGGTTTACCTGAGTTTTCATATAAAATATTACCTAGTTTAAGAAGAAATTTCTGTTTATTATGTATGGCAGTACTTGAAAATGCAACACCTTTAACAAGCAGAAAGAAAACACACAAGAAACAGTACAATTTTAATAATTTTTCTTTATCATGTATAGTTGCCAATAATAGTGTTGCCAATAAATATAAGACCACATAAGTAGCTTCATCCTATGTGAAAGCTTTGCCAAATCTAAAACTGAAAAGAAATTGTTTGCTTTCATTCAGTTTCACTAAAGGAGGAAGAAAGTCTCGAAAAACTGATACCATTTAGTTTCTATATTGCTTTCCTGTGGAATTTTAAACAATGCAGTCCTTCACAGACAAGAAGAGATGAAAACCTTATTTAAATTGTAACTAAACTCTTCTGAAGTTGGTCAAGTTCTTCAGGTTAACATTGCTTTCCATAATAACAGTCACATCACAGGGAAGATGCAGCTTATATTACAGCAACTTTTCCAACCTTTAGGAAGTGGTGCAGAAAATTATTTATTTTGTTGAACATGCCCTTCTATTACAAAGCCACATATTTTTTTTTAGGTAACTTACCTATATAGATATTCCCTGCATGAATGAAATTAACACAAATTAACAGTATTTCCACACCTGAAGATAAAAACAAAGGGTTTGAAACTTATTCCTATTGTTCGCTGTATATTTTACCAACATTGAAGGAAGACTGGCATTTTCTCTCTTTTCTTCTTTCCTATATTTTTTTTAGTAATGGAGATAAATTCCTATTATAAGAGTTTCAGGGACAAAAAGAGTTCTGTTGCTTTAGGCAGTGTACAAATACAGAATAAGAAATGATGGTGACTTTCCTAAAAGCTTCAGTAAACCATTTGACACTACAGATCTGGGTCACAACAATATTCACAGTCCCAGTTTCTGAAATTATTTTAATTCTACTCTTCATTCATTTTTCTCAGTAACAAGCTTGTTTTAGAGGAAACATTTT